AAAAATTAAAAATACATAAAAGCTTCTGGGATGAAGCTAGAGTGTATTTAGTACCGTGACAATATTTGTGGTTGTGGTATGGAGAAAATTGTTTTATAAAAGATATTTTTGGTTGAGTTTGATTTAGTATTTATATATGTTTGATTAAAATGTGATTGAAATTGAGATTTAATAAAAAGTAGTTTAATATATTTGATTAAGAATGTTTTTTGAATTGATGTTATAAAATAAGTAGAAAGATATATATTAATATTAATAGTTTTTAATTTAAATATTATAGATTTAAATATTACTATTACATCATAAAATAAATAATATTTTATATAAAATATTTTTTTATTATTCCATTAAACTATCTATAATTTCATTATATATGAAATTCATCTGATAAGGATTGCAATTTTCATGATTTTCTAAGCATGCAACAACATCAAGTTAAATATTATCAAGAATAAAATTGAAATTACAATTAAATTCTGTAAATATTATATTATTATATAATCTTTTTTTTAATTTATGTAACATTATTAAATAATGTTAAACAATAGTTTTTCAAATAAAATTCAATTAAAAATAAAAATAAAAATTAGATTTTTTTTATTTGGTCGAATTGAGTTTAATATATTTTGGGTTTAATATATTTAGATTTAAAGTGAATTTAATCTGACCATGAATAATAAAATTATTTTTTATTATAAGATCGCAGGAGAAAGGCAGAAGCAACTTTAAGCTTCCTTGGCAAAGTTATGTTTTCAACATAAATTATATAAATAATAAATTAAGTTTTAGCATTAATCAATCAAACATGTTGTTTATACAATTTATTTTAAAAACAAAAGCTGTTGTGAATACTACCTCTCAGTTCTCAAAGTATTTAAGTTTTATAAAAATATTAAAAAAACTAATATCCTCAAAATAATTTGAAAATTATATTAAATCACAGTAAAAAAATAATCTTACCTCAAATCCTACCTTAATTGTTTTTTGGCCAAGGGTAAATTCATTATAACAATATTCAATGAATAGTGTTTTTAGTTTAGGGGTACACTGAGACCTTTTCATGTGCTAACAAACCTTTTTTTTTTTAACTTTAAATATTTCTTAAAATAAAAAAATGTCTATAAATTAAGTTGATATTAAAGAAAAAAATCAAGTTCAAAAGACCTAAGACGATAGTTTTGTTAGTTTTTCTCCTTTTTATTTATGGTATATCTAAATAATTTAATTGTTTTAAAAAAAATTAAAAAATCTAATATATTTTCAAACAATTTAAAAATAACATTGAATTGAATTATAATAAAATAATTACTTTATCTCAAATCCTAGTTCAACAGTTTTTTTTTTTTTTTGTCTAATAGCAAATTCATCATCACTATATTAATGATTAGTGTTGCGAGTTGGTGGATAAAGTAATAATGAAAGGTACGGCAAATTAATTAAAAGCTTGCTGCTGCGTCTTTTCAAGGGTATAGACAACGGTGAAACAGCCACAGTGAACTCCTCGAAAAGATGAATCATAGGGTACATTGAAGAGTAATTAATATTCAAACCCCCCACCAATAGGGAAAAAAAGACATATTATGGGTTAAACCGTAATTAAATTATACATCTCCAGTCCAGTTCTTAAATTAATAATAACTATGCATGTTCTAAAACAAAACAGTGTTTTGATGTGTAAATGGTAAAATTATAGATTTTGCCAAATTTTTTTTTACTTTAATGATACTGTAGTGGTGGTAAAATATTAATTTTTGAGTTTTTTATTTTTATTTTTATAAAAAAAAGTTTTTATTTTTTTTCTCATTACATTTTATATTTTTATCATTTTACACTTGACCTACTTATTACCATTTTATTTTTTATCTTTATTTTTTTAATATTTTTTTAGTTTTTTTCTTTACATTTTTTTTGGAAAAAAATATTTTTTTATTTTCTATACTTTGAATATTTATCATTCTACACTGGATCTATTTATACTATATTTTTTTCTTATCTTTATTTTTTTGTAATTTGTATTTAAATTTTTTTAAAACAATTATTGTACAAAGACTAACCAAATGATATTTTACTATAACAACTGTAATTTGTTTCTTTATTTTGCTATGTTAAAAATTAACTTAAAATCTTACATGATTTTAATAATACATATAATTTTTACTATAAATATTACTATAAGTAAACATTGACCTTTTGATTTAATGTTATATTTGTTGCTTAATCTAACAAAAAAGCGTTAATAATATCTATACATTAATTTTTTTGAATTAGATAAAAAAAATTGTTCAATCTACAGTGAAACGAGTTGAATAGTTTTTATTATTATTATAATCTACAGTGAAACGAGTTGAATAGTTTTTTTTTTATTATTTACTAGAGCATATAGTTGTCAATGTATTAAAATAAATGCATGCATAGACTTTTTTTATTTATAATTAGATTTTAAAAAAATTATTTGAATGGCTTGTATATTTATTTGTATTTTGCATAAAAAATATTTGTCCTGCTACAAAATATTAGTCAAATAACTAGTAAATAAACTAAAATAGATGTTTCACTTTGATCTATGCACAAAACACTATAAATTTAAATAATATAATAATAATTTTACTCTTTTCTATAGAAATAATATACTGGCTATTAGGGATAATATGATTATTTCATAAGACTCATTAATTATTATTAGATTATTTCATGACAACTTGATGTTTTCATATTCTTACAATACAATACAATGATAAAATTATTTTAATTTTTTTTTTATTAATGTTAAGAGGGTTTTTTGAATTTTTATTTTTTTAAATGCATACTAAAATAACTAAATTATTTTTAAAGTAAAAAAAAATGACATCCAATGGCTTTTTTGTATTTTTATTATGAGTTTTTTTAGTTATAATTAAATTGATTAAGAAGCAATTTAATATTTTACAAAATATAAAATATTATTTAAATATTAAAACTATCTAGACCATAAATTGCATGCGTTAGCATGTGCATTGTGTCCACACTATTACGATGGCACATGACATTTTTGAGATATTTGGTCTTCTTTTTAATTTAAAGCATGGTAGCAAAATGAGTAGCAGTGCAATGAAAATTACTCTTTTCTTTTCTTTTTTACCTCTTTTTTCTTTCACCGTCTTATGATTTGAGCCAAGTTGGCCAAGTTGAACGATGTTATATTTTGTATCAGATTTAATTTTTATTTTTTTAATTATTATTTATCTTGTATGGAATCTTATTTTTATTTATTTTTTATTCCATTTCATTTTTTGATATTTAGTTTTATTTTTTATATCAAATTTTATTATTATTTTATTATTTGTTGTTTTCTTATTATTTTCTTAATTGAAGTTGTTTTTCAATTTTATCATTCAATATTTAATTTTATTTTTTATATTAAATTTGATCCTAATTCTTTTGATTGCTATTTATTTTATTTTAAATCGTTTTTTTATTAATTTGTTTTTCATTTTCATTCCTCATTTTTCGGTTAATTGGAAGTTTGCCTTCATGTTTTCTTCAGATTTGCTTTTTATGGAATAATCATTGTTTTATGATCTGGATTATGGATTTGAAAAATTAGATTAAGTTGACTTTGATTTTTTTCCTTTATTAAAATTGATTTTTTTCAATTTTATTATTCAACATTATATTTATTAAGGATTGGCTTTCTTGATTTTTTTTTTTCTTTATATGAAGTTATCTATATCTAATGTATTGAGTCGTAGGCTTTTGTAGGTTAGTTCAAATTGATTCAAGTTTTTATTCCATTTCATTTTTTGATATTTAGTTTTATTTTTTATATCAAATTTTATTATTATTTTTTTATTTGTTGTTTTCTTATTATTTTCTTAATTGAAGTTGTTTTTCAATTTTATCATTCAATATTTAATTTTATTTTTTATATTAAATTTGATCCTAATTCTTTTGATTGCTATTTATTTTATTTTAAATCGTTTTTTTATTAATTTGTTTTTCATTTTCATTCCTCATTTTTCGGTTAATTGGAAGTTTGCCTTCATGTTTTCTTCAGATTTACTTTTTATGGAATAATCATTGTTTTATGATCTGGATTATGGATTTGAAAAATTAGATTAAGTTGACTTTGATTTTTTTCCTTTATTAAAATTGATTTTTTTCAATTTTATTATTCAACATTATATTTATTAAGGATTGGCTTTCTTGATTTTTTTTCTTTACATGAGGTTATCTATATCTAATGTATTGAGTCATAGGCTTTTGTAGGTTAGTTCAAATTGATTCAAGTTTTTTTTTGTTATTTTTTTTTTTTTTTTGTCCTTCAACATTAGATTGGTTTGATAATTGACCCTCATAATTATATTTAATTTTCTTTTCACGAGATTATTTCGATCTCACAATCAAGTCATAAATTTGATAAGTTAGCTCAAGTAGATTCATATTTAAAAAAAAAAATTATTTTCAACATTTGATTTGCTTTGAATTGAATATTGAATTTGTGTTCATGATTATTTCATTTTCATTTAATTTTTATTTTATTATTAAATAAGATTATAAATTTTTTTAAAATATTTAAAATATATATTTTTGTAATTTTTACAAGCAATTACTTATATTATTAAATTAACTAAATTTATCAAACGATCTGAATTTCATATTTTTCCCTTTTTTTTTTTAAATACTAGTGCTGTCTAAATATATATTTTGTATTTTTTAAAAAAATTAACCTGACTAGCAATTTAGCACTGATGACCTATTTAGTCGGAACACTAAAAAGATAGTAATTCCCTGCACGAAGTATCCAACGGCTAGTATTGCCCCAAAATCAACAATCCGAGCCGAGAACAACATCACCGTAAATAATGGAGCAAGACTGGCACCACCAACCTCCCCATGTGCTCACATGCTTTCCAATTTCTTTCCACTTTCCCATCAATTGATCAAGAAACTGCCCCTTTTTCTTTCTTCTTCCTTCTCGTTAAGGGTTTCTTTCTTTCTTTCTTTCTGTTTTTATCAGAGACATGTCCAAGCTGTCTAGAACATCTTCTTCTTCCAAAACAACAACGTTGTTGTTGTTCTTGTTCCTGTTAATGTCGGCCCTCTTGGTCTCCTTCTGTGCTCTGGTGTGCTACTTCTACGCTTGTACTGCTAACCCCAGCAGACTCAACTGGGCTGGTTTCTTTGGGTCAGCCTTCTTGGTTTCCGGGGTCTTATTACTATCAACATTGCTTGTTGTTGCTGCCCGTGCCACGGTGTTGACATGGATCACGGTACTGGTGCTTCTAGCATTTTCGGGAAAGCGACGCCGGGTGCTTGTTCAACAAGGGAGGAAAATCACTGCTGATGTTGTTGTGTACTTGATTAGAGGGGCTGCTTAGACCCATTAACGAGAAGCAACTCAGGATGTAAAGGGAAACTGCAGTATTTGAAAGAATATATTTCTCTGTGATTATCTTTCTCCTTTCTAGTTATGGCCTCTGGTGTTTTTGCAGTGCTCACTGTCTCTTTGTAGTGCTTTTTTCACATTGTATTTCGTCTTTCTTCCCTTTTCTTTTCTATATATATACTGAACAGCATTAAGGGTTCGTACATGTTTATTGCAAATCTTTTTTAAAGGGTTTGTCTCAACGATTGTTGGTTCGATCTTGTAAACAAATTGATAAGAAATTTTCACTTCTTTAGCTTCTCTCATTTCGCCATTTCTTTTACCATGACTGTGACGAAAACATATGTCAAAATGAAATACGAAAGGCCAGTTAAGCTCCAACCCAACTAAAAGCAAATACCGAAGTGATTAATTAGATCTCGTCAATATCAATCTTCTAGTTGTTTTAACAAGCAACCCCGAAAGGGGAAAAAAAAAACGAGGCTGTTTTGTTTTTTATTTTTAAGAAAACATTGGTTAAAAGCTTGACTTATCTTACGTGTGATCTGAGTGTGTGATCTGAGTTTGGTTGTTCGTCAACTTTTAAATCTAGTTTTAAATTATAATAATAATTATTTTTATTATTATATTAATTTAAATTATTTTTAATAATTAATCCTTCTGATAACAGTGATTTAAACCTTATTTCTAATTGACTCTCAATAAAAATTTTAGTACCTACCTATTTCTTGTGGTAACCCAAATAAATTTAAGTTAATCATTTTAATATATAATCTTGGCCTTGTTTCAAATTAATTTATAGGTCAGATTTTAAAATTATAATAATAATTATTTTTATTTTTATATTGATCTGGGTCAATAGTCAACCCGACCAACTTTTATTTTTAAAAATATTATAATAATTACTTTTATTTTTATGTTTACTTGGGTTAACCCAAATTGATCTTTATAACATGTGATCTAGGTTTTGTCTAAAGTTAACTAACAAGTTAGGTTATAAAATTATAATAATAATTATTTTTATCTATACATTCACCCTCTTGACTCATTACTTGAGCTTTGCTCTAAGTTGATTTTCGAGTCGGGTTTTATCTTTATATTGACTCGGAAAAACCCTTGTTGACCCTTTTAACCTGTGACATGGACCTTATCCCAGATTAACCTTTGAGTTGAGTTTTAAAACTATGATAATAATTATTTTTATTCTTACATTAACTTGAGTCAATTCAAATTTACCTTTCTGAACCGCTACTCAAGTCTTACTTTAGATCAATTTCCAAGTTAAATTGTAAAAAAATTTAATTTTAAATTATAATAATTATTATTTTTATTTATACGATTTAGATCAACTTTAATGGTTAATTCTCTGACAGGTGATTGAAATCTTATTCCTGATTGACTCTCATTAAAAATTTTAAAAATATAATAATAATTATTTTTATTTTTATAATAACCTAAATAAATTTAAATTAATCATCTCAACATGTAACATTGGCTTGTTCCAAATCAATCTGCAAGTCAAATTTTAAAATTATAATAACAATTATTTTTATTTTTATATTGATTTAAGTCAATAACCAACCCGACTAACCTTTATTCTTAAAAATATTATAATAATTACTTTTATTTTTATGCTTACTTGGATCAACCTAAGTTGACCTTTATGACATGTAATCCAGGCCTTATCTAAACTTAACTAACAAGTTAGGTCATAAAATTATGATAATAATCATTTCTATTTATATGTTCATCCTCTTGACTCATTACTTGAGTCTTACTCTAAGTTGATCTTCGAGTTGGGTTTTAAAACCATAATAATAATTATTTTTATCTTTATATTGATTCGAAAAAACCCTTGTTAACTCTTTTACTTGTGACATAAACCTTATCCTGGATTAACTCTTAAGTTAAGTTTTAAAATTATGATAACAATTATTTTTATTTTTATGTTAACTTGAGTCAATTCAAGTTTACCTTCTTGAATCGCGACTCAGGTCTTGTTCTAAATCAATCTCTAAGTTAAATTATAAAATTATGATTATGATAATTTTTATTATTATATTTTTTAATTGAACAATTTTAAAAACTAAGAGTTGTTCTATGAAATACTTTAAAAATAGAAAATAATTAATGTTGTCTTTAAAGACAAGCCCCTAATATATTTTTTATTTTGAAAATAAATAAATTTACTCTAAAATTATACCAAAAATAAATTTATTTTCATATTCTTATATTTTGAACCAAACATATTTGTTATATATATATATATATATCATGAAATAATAATCATTTAATAGAATTTTAACAACAATCAAGGTCAACACTCTCACTTTTTTACTTGATAACAACAACAATTACTTTTAGTCCTCGGTTGATATGCTTCATCATCTTGTGGGGATGTTGTATTAAAGTTTTATTGAGGATTAGATTATATTAATTTTATTGAATATTTTTTAAGTTGATTTTAAAAAATTATTTTATATTATTATAGGTCAACACTCTCACCTTTTTACTTGACAACAACAACAATTACTTTTAGTCTTAGGTCGATATGCGTGCTCATCTCGTGGGGATGTTATATTAAAGTTTTACTGAGGATTAGATTATATTAATTTTATTGAATATTTTTTAAATTGATTTTAAAAAATTATTTTATATTATTATTAAATCTGACCTATTAATATTGAATTCTTTTGATTTGGCATTTTACTTAATTTTAGTATTAAATTGATAAAAATTTCAAGACTTAACTCATTAAACTTATAACCTAAATTATGAATACCACAAGATTTAATAACTTTGTTTTCTTAAATTATTTTTTATAATAATATTATAATAAAAATAGATATTTATAAAAATTAATTATGGACTAAATGTTAATATTTTTTTTGAAATTATACTAATTTTATAAAAAACTAAAATAAATTGTCATGATGAATTTAAAATTAATAAAATATTATAGAATGAAAGTGAAAGAAATAAATTTACAAGTTAATATAGCGTGTAAGAATAAAATTTTAAAAAATAATAATTTAGAAGGTAGATTTTTTTTCTAAAATAAAGAGAGTTGTGGTGATAATCAATTCGGCTGTTTCAGTAGAGAGAAGAATTAACAGCGCACCTAATTAAGCGATGACTTCTATGTCTCCCCAGTTGCACCCCATACCACTGAAGTCTTAGCTTATCCACCAAGGACTTATACCAACTAAACAACCAATAAAATAAACCCACGTATGAATTCACAAATTCATACTGTAGTCTCAGTCGTATTAAATCACATCCAATTCAGTTCCTTAATCCCATAGGTTTTCTTTTTCAATTAAAAAAATAAAATAAAAATAGAACTTATCCAATAAGCCAAAACAAAGAGTGTATATATATAGGGAGAGAGAGACATGAGGAAATCAAAGCAAGTTTTATAGTTAAGTTAGACGGTAAAAGCGGCTAACAGGTACGCTTGGTAAGTGATTGATTCTTCATATTCTCTCCTCTCTTTCCGATTTTTCTTCTTAATTTGAACCATTCCTCCCTTAATCCTTTCTTTGGGTTTTTTAAGGTTTTCTTTTATTGCGCGGCTTACTGGAACGCGATGGATTCTACTATGGTGATAAAGGTTTGGTCTTTAGCGTTTTCTCTTATTTGCTTTTGTGTTTTCTGTGAATAAAATATGTAAAGTTTGGAAATTGGGGTTTTGTGTTTTGAACAATTTGGTTTTAGATACAGCCGTGTATTGCTTCAATGATGTGTTTGATCTCTTTGTGTTTTGTTTATTGTTTGTTTGCTCTTTGATCAAGTGTTATTGTTTTTTTGTTTGTTGAGTCAAATACGAGAAATATATTATTTAATGTTTTTCATTTATTATTTTCTCCTTTGTTATAGAGTAGAGTTTGATCTAGGGTCTTTCGTATTATGATTTGTTTTTTTTTTTTTTAGATTAGGGTGTGTAATGAGGTGCTTAAATCTGATAGGCTTATTTTAGAATGTTGTTTTAATAGTTTGAATTCTGACCTTGGCTGAAAAAAGAATCATTTTTGGATTTGGTTTTATTTAGGGTTTTGCCTTCTTTTTTCAAAATTGTTATTACATCTTGCGGTTTTTGTTGGTCTCAAAGCTGGTGAGATTTCGTCTTTGATGCTTTAAAGGATTTCTGGACCAATTTACTGCACAATTTTGTTTTTTTTATCTCATCTTTGCAAAGGATTTGAGTAGGGTTATGTTGAAACAGGATGAGAATATGTTGTGGTTTGAGTTTAGAAAATGTTTTGACAACAAATGGAATTATATGTTAATTTGAATTTCTTTATGTTCTTTATATTCCAATTGCCTCTGCTTTTATTTATTTATTTATATTTGCTCATGTGGATACAGGTTAAATATAGTGATACACTCAGGCGTTTTAATGCTCATGTAAAGGAGAATGAGCAACTCGAACTTGACATGACTGCGCTGAGGGAAAAGATCCTCGGTCTTTTTAATTTTCCTCCAGATGCTGATCTCACTCTGACCTATATTGATGAAGATGGGGATGTGGTTACTCTTGCTGATGATGATGATCTGCGTGATGTGATGAGGCAGAACCTGAAGTTTTTGAGGATTGATGTGCAGCTTAATAATGATAAGTCTGGTAAATCTAATGCTAGATCTAGTGGCAGTTCCACCCCTACGAGGTCCCACAGGGTCCAGAGTCCATTACCATGCCTCAACAATGGTGTTGCTGAAGTTCTGAAGTCTGTGCCAGAGCCCTTACGTGAAGTACTCTCAAAGATATCTCTCGACCTCACTTCAAAAGCTGTGGCTTCTAATGCATTGCTCACTGAGCTTGTTGACTGCTTTTCAAAAATGGGGCAATCCCACCTGAATCCAACCTTGCAGTCTCATGATGGTATAGGCGCCCAAACTGGAGCTACAGCTCCTACAGTTCTAAATGCTTCCAAGGATGATGGCTTGAAAGAAGACTTGCTGAATTTAAACTCGCCTCTCAAAACTAGCCAGGAGGAGAGCTTTGAAAATGGTACTAAGACTGCGATGCCACCACAAACAGCTGTCCCTTCTCCTGTTAATCTGAATCCTAACCCTCAAATTTCCAATTCATTTGTGCATTATGGACCCCTTGCATCCTTCATCCCTGCTTGTGATGATTGGAAGGAAGCCAAGAAACAGAATACTGGTCTTCCAACTGGGAAGCCTGGCTGGTTTGGTTTCCCCAGCATTCCTGTGAATCATGACTTTCCTTTACACACTGATTGTCCATTTAGTGGAATGCCAGTGGCAAATGACTCAGCTTCACGCACTCTCAAAAGTCATGTAATTAAGAGAAACAATTCTCTTAATAATCCCATGGTTGGCATGTTTCATAGGGGTGTTCAATGTGATGGTTGTGGTGGTCATCCAATTACCGGGCCTCGTTACAAGTCCAAAGTGTAAGATATACAATTAAAGCTTTGATGTTGTGCCTATGCTTATAAAGATAATGGCTGTTGAATTGATGCTATTTTCTCATATTTATTTAGTGATTACCTCTCTGCTCTTTTTCTTTCTAGCAGTAAAGAGGATTATGACCTCTGCAGCATCTGCTTCGCTGAAATGGGTAATGAAGCTGATTACATCAAGATGGATAGGCCGATGCCTTATCGTAATCGTTGGTCTTTCAAGGGGTTTAAAGATCCTGTATGCAGACTTTGTGCCTATCTTGATATTTAATATGACATGCGAGTTTTCTCTGTTGATAAAATCTTGCTTTATTTTTTTTCATAGCTGACTTCTTTTTTTATTTTTTACCAAAAGACACAGAAATCTTGGGCCATCCCACAGCCTCTCTCTAAAGGTTCATATGGAGTAAAAGGAGCTCAACCTAAGCTAGACAGCCGTTTTGTTTTGGATGTCAATGTGTCAGATGGTACCATGATGCCTCCATCTACTCCTTTTACCAAGATTTGGCGAATGCGCAACAATGGTAGTGCCGCATGGCCTCATGGAGTGCGGCTTGTGTGGATTGGGGGAGACAGGTTCTTCAATACTGATTCTGTTGAGATAGAGGTGGGCTTCTTCAGTTTGTAGTAACAGTTAACAATTGCCTTTGCTTTAAGCAATTAATCTGATCTTTCTTCATTTTGTGGTCTCATTGATCCATGCAGATTCCAGTCAATGGTGTGCCTATTGATGGTGAACTTGATATTGCAGCTGATTTTGTATCTCCTGTGTTGCCTGGTAGATATGTATCATATTGGAGGATGGCATACCCTTCAGGTGGAAAATTCGGGCAGCGTGTTTGGGTTCTTATTGAGGTATTGGCTTTCTTGGTGCTCCCTCCATTGGCTTTTACTCGCACCTTTTCATTTCACGCAAACACACCAGAAAGTGCACAGTAGTTATTCCTTATTTTTCCATGCAGGTCGATGCTTCCCTGAAAGATCCATTCTTCAAATATCTGAACTTGAACGAGTCCCCCAATTACAGTGGTTCTAAATTCCCTGGTGTTTTAGATGTGAATGTCCAGCCTGCTGTGGATGGCTGTTTTCTGGAGAATAATACCTTGCTTTCAGAACCAGTTGTCCCCTTGGTTGACGAACAGCCTAAGAGCCAAGAACTAAAATTCCCTGTAGATGATGCCTTACTGATTGACCATGGTGTTTCAGCCTCTGATCCTTCCCAGGCCATGCCTTCACCTGTTTCTGTTCTTTATCCAATGATAGACATTTCTGAAACAGTTCCTGCTAGTACCGAACTCCTTCCTGCTGTGGATGCTACTTCCTCTGAAGAGGTCATCGTTGAAAATGCTGTTGAGAAGACCCTCCTAATGGAACTCAAGGAAATGGGCTTCAAGCAGGTTGATTTGAATAAGGAGGTCTTGAGGCGGAATGAGTATGATCTGGAGCAGTCAGTGGATGATCTTTGTGGTGTTTCTGACTGGGACCCCATTCTCGAGGAGTTGCAAGAGATGGTAAGTCATCTCAGGAGTTCTTTTTTAGATCTTTTTGTAGCAAGACTAGGATTGTTTTTTGTTTATGTTGTTTTATGCACAACACAAGATTACTGTATGTTGTGGTTGCAGGGTTTCCGTGACAAGGAAATGAACAAGCTGCTGCTGAAGAAAAACAATGGGAGTATCAAGGGTGTGGTCATGGATATTCTCACCGGAGAGAAGGCATAGTTCTAGACTTTTAATCCTCCTTTATGTTGTTATAAATAAATCTAGGGTTGCTAAGGTTTAATAAGTTGATCTACGGATTCTCTAAGAACTGCTCAGGTTTTGAGCATTTATCGTGTTTGGTGCTCCAGCCAAATGCTGGCTGGATATGGTTATATATATATATATATACACATATCAGGTGCACGGTGAATGAATAATTTATCAATATGGTTCCTTCTGATTCTCGTTATTCTTGTGCCTGGTCTGCATTTTCGTTATTCTTGTGTCCTTGTGGATGAAAGATTCGTGTTATGCAGTATATCATCCGACAACGTTTTTGGCATGTTTCTTATGTTTCCTTATAATTTTTGCCAGCATCATGTACTTTTTCTAGGACTTCTGTTACTGCACTCAAAAAAAGGTTTTTGAAATATCTGCCAGATTAGGTTTTTAATGTACGGGGATGAAATAAAGGAAGGCTTATATATATATATATATATATTCTTGAGATGTCGATTATGGCTACTCAACCCCCCCCCCAACACACACACACTTTCTTTTTTTATTTTTTATTTTTTTTGGCGATGGTGGTCGACTTTTATGACCTGGAGAAAATTAAAAACTGTTTTTCTGCTTTATGGGCGCCATTTTCTTTTTACCAAAATGGGGGAGAAAACATAGCAGTGAGGCCCAGAATGCAGTTTCTGCTAAATGATATTGTACTGATGAGGAAAAAGCAAAAGAGAAGAGAAGCAATTGATATTTCGATGGTCTGGTTATGTGTTTCATTTACCGAGATGGGGATGAGGATCATTGATTCGATCGAAAATGGAAAGGCCGTAGTCCGTCAAAGGGTTTCTAGGTTTTGAGGCGGTGGGGGTGGGCGTCGTGTGAACTTAGTTCAGGCGTTGTGGTTGCTTTACACTTTCGTAAGGTTTGTGCTCTCTGGAAATGACTGGTTATGGGAGTTAGGTTTGGCGGGAATTTAAGAGGGAGAGAGAGAGGTGACCATTAATTTTTTTTTTGTGCTGGTTCGGTGGTTTTGAATTTTGATTGGAGGTTTTTCTTTAAAACTTTTATGAATATATTTAACGGTTAATTTTATTTTTTTAATCAATATTTTTTTTATATTTATTTAATGAAAATTATTTTTTATAATTATTTTTAATTTATTTATTATAAAATTATTTTTGTTTTATAACTGTTTTCCCTGTCACATGTAATTTTTTTTTTAATTTTATATTTTACTATTAAATTAATTAACTAATAGACCTGGAGGAAGAAGTGACCTCACTCGCAAGGGAGCTCTTCTGACAGAGCAACTGAACAGAGCAACTAGGGATCGGTCTGGTTGTCGGGAACCTCTAGGTCCGATGTATTCAGAAGTACTTCTTGCTCAGCTGGGGCATGTGGAGGAAATATTTCGCTCCAATTAACTTCATCGAATCCTGTTATCTCAAGGAGCTGGAAAGTTTCTAACTCTTCATGCTGCTAAGCAACTTGCTGAACAGTCATGTCGATGACTTCGTTCCATGCCTGAAGTCCTTTGCTCCAACGGAGATTTGACTACGATTTTTCGTAATCTTTCAATCTCGTTATCGATAATTCGAGTAGTAGTTACCATTTGGGTTGTTTTTGGAAAATTTTTAAGGCTATACTTGAAGAATTTCCATCGCTCTTGTAATTGCTGTGCTAAGAGCGTTTCTTCTGAACTGGGCACTTTTAGGGGTCATCCACGACTAGACTGTAGTCTTTCAGCTTGTTGCTGGAGTTTATACTCTAGCCTTTCTCGAGCTTGGACCTCATTAAACAGATGTTCTGTCCCTTCTTCGAGGTCCACCAACAGCTTCCGCTCAATGGGCAGTTTGCTCATTGTGAAGGTGCGGGCTTATATTTGAGAAGACTTTCAAGTTGGTTAATAACCTTCTCGACCAGAGCAATTTCCTGGGTGTTGTCTTCTTCGACAAAGCGGAGTATCCGCAGATAGGATTTTAACTCATTTACTTCTGCTAGAATGGATAATTTATCCATTTTCATATTTCTTATAGCAACAGTAAGTGAAGTGGAAGTTCCGAATAAGGTGTGGTCAAAAGCTGCATGAAGCGCTTCTGAAGGGTCTGAGGACAAGTTGTTCTTATAAATATAATTTAAATTTTTAACTATTCCTGGTCGGATAGTGTTTTGGCAATACTAATTGGTTTTTGAAACTTCCTCAGGTGTCCTGATTAAGGTTTCGGGTTGTCTCATAGACACTGTTTGTTTTTCAACAGTTTGTTGAATAGTAGTTTGCTTTTGCTGACAGCTTGGTTTTTTATCCTTTTTTGAAATTTCTTGCATTGATCAGTTGTATGGCCGACAAGTGGTAATAATTGCACTGTATTGCCTGAGAATAATTAATTTGATTATTCATGGGAGCCGGGCAATCAAGTTGATTATGCCCTGTCTGTAGACATGTTTCTCAAATTGTGACAAATGGCTCAAGCAGACGATAAAATTCATCGTCAAACATCTCCTCTGGAGACATGGGTCTTTTAGACATTTTCCTTTATTTGTTCAAGATCTTCTTGAAACTGGATGGCTAAGGGTTTGAATTGTTCAACTCTTTTTTTCCAAAATTTGGATTCATCCATCTGGGATTTCTTTTATTATAATTTTCTCTTACATATCGATGAGTTGATCTTTTCGAGCAAGTTGCTCATCTTTGCATCGAATAATTCCGTGCATCTTTTGAGTTTTTATTTTTTGTTGAAGATATCCTTCCATATTATCAGCTTGATTTCTATCCAAATTGGGTTTTAGAGTTTTCTGTTTATTTTCCTAAATTAGAATCAGCTTTTGTTGTTTTAGGGTGGAAACAGTAAATGAGACGCCTACTTTAGGTCTTATGAGATTAGGAATGTGTCCATGTCAAGGTTAAATAATAAAAAACCTAATTAAGATGAAATATCAACCAAAATTTAGAAATATAAAATATACTAGAATTTAGAACGATTGTTACTTCAAGATGATGGGGGTTCAGTTCTGAAATTTTACACTCTGTCCGCCATTTAGTCTTACTCCCATCAAGACAGCTCCTTTCCCTTCCGCGGTGCTTAGCCTGTTGGGATGCCTGAGCTTAAGAGCTTGGGACTTCTTCTCCTTGCACCATAATTTCTTAACAACCTTCGTTCGCCCTTCGTTCTATTTCATCCCTATACAGTTTGATGATAAATCTATCCTAAGGTTGGTTTTTTGATGTTCCACCTAGAATCTCATATCACCCGTTTCAGCTATGTTGATAATATCCTAAAACTTAAAAGAAAGCTGGGCTGAAAACTGAAAATAGAATGGAAGCCAAGAAGGTTTGAAGAAAACTGAGTGTTTATTGATATGGTGAAGTTTACAGAGAAGATTGCTTGAGTGCTTTGGGTGTTGGGTGCGCGATGTCTCCGCAATGCTTCTCAACTTTTAATATATAAGGGAAATAAGGTGGGTTTTCTTTAGAGTGCGGGTGCTTCTTTGGGCCCCATCGTCCACTCAAAGGAACCCTGTCCTTGCTTTAAGATATCTTTATCTACATATGCTTTTCATACTGGAGAAAGGATCAAACAGGGGGGATCCACGCTTCTCTGGATGCTGATGACATCGGTGTCGGACAAGTCATACCGACGATGAAGGTATTCAGTCAAAATTTGATCAATACAGAAAGGGATTAGCTTGACCCTTTCTTCTAAAACGTCATTTTGATGCTTGATTTTCTGTCAGCTGAACTCTATCTGCTTGCTCCTGTGGACTTCTTCTTTGACTTGAAGAAGTGGCAAGGCTTGAACTTGGGCCTTCGCTAGGCTGGGTTTGTCGTAGGTGAGGTTGTTGATCTTAACCTTCAAACCCATGATTTGCTCATGAAGAGATTCTATCTCCTCGTCTTTCTTCTCAATCTGCTCTAGCAGGCATAGAGTAGTACCTCTTAATGCTTTGCAGGAAGTGCAGGGAATCCTGATTGTAGCGGTCTCAGCAGGGGGAGGATTATCGAATTGATTCCTCAATAAGGGGCTAACATTTAGAGCCCTTAAATATCTTTTGGGCCGCTTCTTCGGCCTCAATTAATGAGTCAAATTTTTTGCTCATTGGGCTAATGCCCGGATTGTAATTGTGCTTTAGCACTTCAGCCCAAGATGGGTAAATTCCCGGTTTAGGGCCGCTGGTGACAAGATAAGTTTTCTTGTCTTCCTTGAGATCAGCATGGTATTTAGCCAATGCTGCCATGATAGCTGCAAATTGCGGTTTATTTCTCTGTTCATAAGCGAACCAGAGATTATCATAGATTACTTTCTCAACATGAGTAGCCTGTAGGCCTTCAGGTAACCTGTACTCATATCCACAACCTGTTAGGTCATAGAGTGTGGAATCGCCAATCTGAACAATTTCAGTGGCTTGGAACACTACCTCGAGATGTTCTTGAGGAGCGAACCTTGGAGAGGCGTATCCTCTTCCTCTTCCTCTTCCTCGAGTCGAGGTTGCTCTTCCTCTAGCTGGAGGAGGGTTACGAGCTGCGCTTCCCTTGAGCTTGAATATTCCAGAACTTTTAGAAGATGCCCTTTTAGGTTTTTTGGAGGGATTTTCTGGGAAGGGTGTTTCTCTTTTCTCCATATTGGAGGTGGTGTTTGTTTTTGAGTGCCTCCATCAATGGCTGAAGGGGTTTATGAGAAAGCGCATCGGCTATGCCATTTTGCTTCCCTTCTAAGTATTCAAAAGATACTTTACATCCCTTTGTCTGCATTTGAACACAAACTTTAACCATCTCTTGACAGAAGTTCTGCCACGATCAAGATTGGACAGCATATTGTCGTAAAACTTGACAATTGCTTCACAGTCAGTGCGTATTGTCACCTCATCTTTTCCAAGGAGGAATAACTCTAATTTTTCGAGCGCATTGTTATTGGCTGACATTACAGAGTATAAATGTCACCACCCGATTTCTAATTCATCATCGACACATAAATAAAGTTTTTCTTTAACATTTTATATTTATATAAATTTAAATTTACATATAAACTTATCCTAATTTAATTAGAGTTCATTATAGTATTAATAATAAAATCAATTTTATAATATAATTGAATTGTTTTGATACAAAAATTAATATAATTTTATAGTTTTGAAACACTAACTAGATATAAGAAAAAGTTACAAATTTCAATAAGAGAGTAGATTCGGAAAGTTCAATAAAAGTGACCCGTTATCAAGTTATAAGCCTGAAAAGAATAAATAACGAGAGGGTGAGTTTAACAACTCAGTGAATAGAGAACGTTCAATACACACACACACGAGGTAATACTACAATAAGAAATATATATATACAAGTATGACTCTAGGTTTTTATAAAAAGGTTTCTCAAATAGATCATAACAAGAATATCATATAATAAAACTTGTCAGAAAATCAAAATACAATAAGCATGAGGCTCTATACTATAGGATCAGATCACATAGGTTGGTGACTCTCCCGACCAACTAGGGTTTTGATACGACGTGTACAAAAACTAACATTATCCTGTTAGCATGGGTATTCTAACTGACATACCATAGGTTTATAATCATAATCAAACAGACATGCTCATATCTCAAGGCTCAACTCATGACATCAATCAAATAAGAAGTTATCAATTCAGAAGTCAATTCAAATATATATTGGTTGATATCAATAATTCAGATTCAACAATTAATCATGCTTTATTATAATAAAGATAATAATATATATATTATTAAGAAGCATGATCCAATTCATATTAACAAATCAAATATTTATAATATTTTTCATGTATACGGAAAATTATCCATTCACTTGACTCAAAAGCAAACAAAAGTCAAATGCAAACACTGAAGAAAATCCTACTGACATCCCGCCGGTAAAATATCAGGATTATCTGAATACAAAGGAGACATATTCAAGAACGACTCGAAAGAAGATTTAACCTATTTAATACACTTAACTAAGGGTGTATTCTGTAACCCTATATGTTTTGGAACTAACTAGTTAATTTTCTTAAAAACCCAAAATTTAACGGTTTTTTCAAAATCTAATTCATAATAAAAAATAATAAAATTGGTAATAATTCACTAAATAACCATCATTTATTCATCAAACCAATCTTAAAAAGCTAATATAGGGACCAATCTGGAATTTATCATATTTTTAGGGCAAAATTGTAATTTTCATCTAATTGGAGGACCAAACTAAACATATCATAAATTCATGAATATAGTGGAATTATGTCCATAATTCATCCTTATGTCTGTCCATAACCTCTAATTATGCTCCAGGGACCATTCTGGAATTTTTTCAAAATTTTAGGGTCAAATTGTAATTTTTGTCAAATGGAGGACCAAACTAAAATTGTCATAAATCCATGACTATACTGAAATTCTGACCATAATTAATCCTCAATTCTGTCCAGAATATCTCATTATGCTCCAGGGACCATTTTGAAAATTTACAAAAAAGTTTAGGGTCAAATTGTATTTTTTGTCAAATTAGAGGACCGAATTGAAATTTTTAAAATTTCATAACTATACAGTAATTCTGCCCATAATTCATATGTTATTCTGTTCAGAATCTCGGAATATGATTCAGGGATCAATATGTAATTTTCCAAAGTTTGGGGACTAAACTGTAATTTTTCAAAATTGTTTCATCATCTTCAACCTCAAACCCAGAATTTCAACAGAAAACCTACTTTTTTTTTCTTATTTCTAACACAAATTCACTGTTCAAACAAAATTATAATTCAAAATCATCATCTTTCAATTCAATCTCTCAAAATCAACCAAATAATCAAATACCTACAACAATTAATCCTATAACATTCAAATGAACTCATCAATTAACCCAAAACATAATTTTCGAAACCCTAACATTTATCAAAACTGAAATTAAAGTTCAATTAACATATATTTATACATTTAACAACCTAAATCTTACTTTTAAACTTATTTTTTCAATTCCTTTCTATTTCCCGTCTAATTTCCTTCTTTTCTCTTCTTCTTCTTTCTCACTTCACTCCTACCGGTTCTCTCTCAAAATATTCAGATCTCTTCTTCTTCGTTTTTTTTTTCCACTTCCTATTTATATTTATCATCTCTTTAATTAATTACCACTATATCCCTTATTTAATTATACTTTTTCTTTAAATCTTTAAGATTTTTATCGACTTTTCCTACTCTTTAATACAAAACATTACAATAAAGTAGTAATCATACTTTTTTCTTTATGTTCGCCACTAGAATATCTACAGTCTCACTGTAGACTTTGGGCTAAATTTATTCGGCTCTGCGAATAAATCTGCTCCCCATCTATTTTTGGATCCATCTGTATGGATGACTAGATAATCATTATTTAGTGGGAGCTTTTTTCTTACGTATTACTCGAAGTTGAAGTAATTCGTTGATTTGAAGTTCAAACCATTTAATCTCTTCATTTCAAGCTGGAATGGCCTTTGAAGTGATTATAAGATCAGAATTTGTTGGAATAATACTATAAATTATCTTATGTCTATCCCAATACCTGAGAGGCTTACACTAATTATTTCAATCTTTTGCAACTCGAGAATAATATCCTCGAGGCTTTAAATTTGCTAAATTGAAATTTATATGAATCAAATCTTTTGATTCACGGACCATGAAAGTTTCAGGATCCTCAAGAAATTCTAAATTGAATTCCTCGTTAAACATCAGGTTCTGATTTTGCAACTTGCATGAACCTGGTATAAGACAGTGACCAGCTTTGTCTCCTAGAGTTAGGGATGATAATTGAGTAATCACTGGTAGGATTTTTTAATAGTTATGTTTTATTTATTATTATTGAATAAAAAATAAAAAAATATTCATTTGATTTAGGTATCCAAGAAGTATCTATTATTTATTTATTAATAAAAAATAAAATATGTATATATTATACTGTATTAAACAAATCTAAATATTTTATAAATATATTTATATAATATAAATATATATCTTATATTAGATTTAAGCGAGTTTTGAATTGAGTTTAACAATACCGATATCTTATTTATTATCTATTGAGTTTAAAAATTACCCACCAATTTAGGATGGACTGATATCTATATGATATTTATCTGGTATGGTATAGATTAAATTGTTATCAATGCCTATAATACATTCAGCCTTTCTACTTTACAGGCATTTATTCCCGATCCTTGCTAAAATGTGGATGATATAACTTGATATTTAACAAGAGATAAAGGAATTGGATGCAACGCTACCATCTTCAGAGATTAAAGTTGAAATTTGGGTCTATAAATTTGCAGCTTCTTATGACTAGATTATTGTAAACTGCGCAGATCAGCACATATGTCTCAAGGTACTGCTTACCAAACTAGGCAACAGTATGGCTGGGACACTACGTCCGATGATTATCATGCCTATATTTCAAGATTATCAAGGATGTCAAGTGTTCTCCATGGTGCTCCCCAGTACCCAAGCGTGCACAAGGCCTTCAACAACAATGTAATTTAAGAAGAAGAGATTATCGAGGCTCGCCAAGATTATTGAATCAACAAGAGGAATCACACCAAGTCTCCCAAGAAGGTTCAGGTGACTGAGCAAGTGCAAATTATCGAACAAAATGGGAATCAGAAATCAGAAGTTATCGAAGAAACCGTTGATGATGAAGCTGATGGCTTCATCCAGCAGAAACACAAGGACTTTGAACTGTGCAAATGGAAGACCTTCAAGTTGCCATAAGCTAGGAGAATATCGGTTGTGCTAAGATTACAGGCAAAGTATATCTCAGCTACGGTGTTGTAACCAACACAGCTATTTAAATAAGAAAGGCCTGTCTTTCTTGTAGCTGCAGAACTTCTTTCAGGATTGTTTGTGACGGTCATGGTTTCTCAAATCAACCTCACTCAAAAGATGACGTGCAAGAGCTATAACCCAAATAGAAGTATGTTTTTCAGGTGCCAAACCCCAGGTTGAGCCATGACACGGCCACGCCTCATTTCAAGTTTGGTTAGGGTACGTTCACGTCCAGCCATACTTTGGGCCCGGGTGCGATCATTCTCAACTCATATTGGGTCTGGGTATGTTCCCTCCCTCTTTTCTCTTAGGTTTTGGGAGCAAACTGAGCCCAACATTTCTTAGATTATGAAACTGAAGAGTCACTTTATATAGAACTTTTTATATTCGGAACTTAAATTAATAATCATGATGCATATCATGATTTTATTAAAAATAAACAAGTTATCTATATTTATATTAATGATATGTAATGATATAATCAGTAAGATAACATCATTTTACTTATATAAAATTACATTTTTACCCCTTGTATATTGCATAAGACCGTGGAAATTAAGGGATATAAAAGAAGGGAAAAAAGAAAGGAAAGGGGATTTTTCTCCTCTCCTCACCTTTAGATCTTCTTCTTGAACCCTTTCTATACATTAATGAATGCTCTTCAACATCTCAATAAATATCACCATTAATGTCGATCTTAATATAAATATTCCTAGTAATGACTTGATTTCCAGAGTGTCTATATCATCCATATCTCTAGGAAACTTTGTGCAGGTATCTTTTCTTTGCAAAAAAAAAGCTTGTGTGGCCTTGAAGTGAAGATCATTGAATTCACCGTAAATAATGTCAGGGAATTTCTAGAAATAAATCATCCAAAAACATTCCCAGTAATTTTTATAACCTCCTCAGTTTGGATATAGCATGTCAAGATAATCTAACTATTTTATATTGCAATAAGACAACATAGTATAATATATAGCTTTTCCTCGCTGCTTATTTGTGAATCCTGGGTTTCATACGCTGCAATTTTTGTGCAGCAATTGAGCCTTTAACAAATAAATTGTCGATGTGACGAGTGTTACTGAAACAAAACATTAGAGCAAATTACAAACGATGCTTCGCCTTATTATTATTATTACATCAAGTTCTGAATCTCACAGTTTGTCGATGCTTGAGATTCTCTGAAATACATGCATGATACATGTTGCCAGAATCAATTATATAGCAGATATATAACATCTTTAACCCGTTAATGTTTTATATGTTCCCTTCTTTCCTTTGAAGTATCCAGGCTTATGCAGATAGTTTAAGAATATGTGAAATAAAAAAAAAAAAATCTGAAGTGTATTGGTGAAAACAAAATAATCATGCAAGGCCTGTAGAAATGCTTGGTAGCTCATTAAACCAGGAACTGCTGGAAACTGTTGCTGCTGCTACAAGCCACCTGCCCAATACAATGAATGCACTTTCAGTCACCATTGCCAGTGACTTGTCAAACATATGTCTTTCGATGCAGCTAATTCATGACCTCTGAGTTTCTGACTGCCTGACTGGTTTTATGTTCAGTTGTCAGATTTGATTAATAAATCATTAACTTTTGGAGGTTCTGCTGGAAACAGATGATGAGAGACGGTCTTTAGAACTGGCATTGAATATGGCAGATACTACTTGATTATGGTCCTATCGGCGCATAAAGAGGTACTAGTCCTGGTATTTTCCAGCAGAAACCTGAACTACAAAGAAATTCTTGTGGCAAATATGTCCATCAATCAACGACAACAATATCATACAGTCGACACCGGCCTAGAATTAAGTGGGGATTCGGTCATTGTTCCCAATTCAGCGGGAATATTAATCAATAATTCGACCATGATGAGATCATGTTAGCTTACCTTATTTCAGTACAGTCATCAGGTTGCTGGAGAGCTGCAATCAAATTCTGGAGACGTTGTGTGGTCAGCAGTTGAAATTCTTTACAGGGAATCTACCATGACCAGGACCAGGACCAGATCACAATAATTGAGTAAAGAACAACACACCCTTTCCAATTTCAGGTGCAAATAAACTGACAGAATCCTGAATTCTATTACAATATGCCTCATCTGATGTTGACAAATCAAGGATCAAAATTGATTGCTATCATGCAATTTCATCTTTTGCTTGTACTGGCCTCCTTCTCAAGGAAAATAATTAAAAAATAAATCATAACAAATCTGCTGGTTTTAAACTAGCAATGCTCTTCTACTTTACAAATTGCTGTTATGATTAATAGCTCTGAAGAAAAGAAAATATGTTGATTCGGAGAAAAATACCGAAGTGTTTTGCATTACTGAAAATACTTTGTCTGCCAATACAAGTCTTAGGTTGTTTGTGATGTGGTTTCATGACAAGGCAAATACTTGTAGCAAGACATTTCCATGCCACTAAAAGCACAGCATATGAATTTGATTTTAATTTTCCTCTTAGGCTAAAGTGTGAAATCAACCTGCAAAACAAAACTTGAATTGTCATGTCAGATTTTTTCAATGAAGATTGCACTTGCTAGCATTCTTCACTGCAAAACCTGGAGATAGAACTAACATAAGCTGGAAGTCAAGAACAAGACAGAACTAATGAAATGTAACATCAAAATTGATTGTTATCTTCACGAGGAACTTCAGCCTCATTGAATCTCCTCGAAGACATGACATTAAACAAATTTCTAAGACTGTTCTTACTCTCTCTTTTCTTACTATACACCCTTCTTCGAGTATCTAGCCCACTAAATGGATCTTCCAAAACAAGCTCTCTCTCCAACCTTTTGGACATATTCACAATCTCATAGGAATCCCACAGTGATTGCTTGAAATCCCAACTTACACTCTCAACCCTCTTGGCTGATGACTTCATTGCTTCTAGCTTGAACCGAGAAGGCTTGCTTTGAAAATTTTGGCGATATGCATCGTATTCATTGGTAGACCTTGAACTTCCAGAATGACCATGCCATGCTTGTGCCACAGCCTTGAGTATTTCAAGATCACGCTGATATTCATCTTCTTCATGCTCTGTCTTCTTCTTCATACTTTATGGTATCTTCTGCAACAAGGTCTACTGTTCCGGGCCATGTTATCTTGGCTAAACTAGAGCCTCACAATATTGCTGCTAAAATTGATAGATAAGCTTTTTTGTGTCGTTATGCTTTCTGCTATGAAAGTTTGTTATCTTCTTTCTTGACTGAATTATGGCCTCATGGACAGATAAGATATGATAAATGGTAAATTAATTTGTTAATTTCTTTATGGATTAGAAATATTTCCTATCCTTTTGAGAAGTGGTTAGTTTGGGTCCATTGATAAGTACACAATTACACAGATATTCAATATCATTTCTTTTTTCTTTTTTTTTCATTTAACGTGTGGACCATATACAAATTCTTATGAGTATTTTTAATATTTGTGTTATCTTAAAATTGAACCCTCGTTCGTCTTAAACCATTTTAATACCTAATTAATTTTGTTTAAAGCATATATATATACCTTTCTTGACAATCGATGCCATCATCTAATTTTTAGCATGATGATTCTTTTATTGGGTTTTTGAAAATAAAAATACAAATCCGTTGTATGCAATTTTCCAATACCAATTTCAAAATTTCAGTAATCCATGAGAAAAAAACTTTTAAATTTAGATTTCTTTGATATCATTTCCGTTTTCTGTATTCTTTTATTAAAAATAAATAAAAAAAATGTTTATTTATTTATTTTAAACAACATAAAAAAATAACAACTAATTGTCCAAAAATGGTGATAGTGGTTGTGGGGTTCTTTTTAAGACAATCAAGATTTTGCTTTTGTTCCAAAAACAAGTTGAAAACAAAATCAAGGAAGAAAAACTATAAATGATACTAAACTACTTTTTAATTAACTACATGGAGTGACGTGGGTTAGCATTCAGTAGGTTATTTCCTGCACTATGGTGTGGTTTAGAAAAAAATTGAATAAAATAATAATATTTAGGTTGTAGAAAACTTTTTGATATTGATATTAAATCTAATATAACTAGTCAAGTTTGAAAATTCCAACCTTGATTCTTTAATTTATATTTTAAATTAAATTATATGAAAATTATTTTAATATGACATTTTTAATTTGACAAATCCAAAGAAAAAAAATAAAGAAAAAAAAACATCACAAATTAACTCTAGTTCATAGCAAAACAAATGACCCGAGTATTAGATTCTAATAGATTCAATTAAATTTTTTATTTTATTATGTAATAAAAAATACAAAAAATTATTCAAAATCATCATATATTAAAGGGAAAAATTAATAAAAATACAATATTAAATGATAAAATTAAAAAAATCAAGAAAAGAGGCCAATTATTATTATTATTTTAAAGAAAGATGACAAATTATTCACTTCTTATTTTTAAAAAAAATAAAAAACATATAACATTTCACTTGTTGAGTCAAATAATATGTTATTTGTTGATTTACAATTTAAATTTTAACCACTACTGTGATGATTGAAAAAAACATAATTTTTTTTTAATTAAAATCTATTTTTAACTTACTTACATCTTAAATACCTTCAAAACACTGTAAAAATCTTTCTATACCATCAAAAAAACATTAAAAAATACCTGAAATACAATAATTAATTGAATAAAAAAAATCTCTAAACCAAGCACAATCTCTTTTCTCATGGAAGCTTAAAGGGAAAAAAAAACTATGATTAAACTCTTCTCGTTACATAATACCATTAACATAACAAACAACGAGTTTTTCATTGAAAAATAACCCAACGAATTCGCCAACCAGTCTGCTGTAGAGTTGAAAGTGTGTTGAACCTTGACCTTCCAATATCTAGTCAAAAGTGTACACTCTCTAGCAACCAAAGTATAATTATTGTCCACTAAGATTTTAGCTCAACTGTTTTAGTAGAGTTTTTTTATTTATATATTTTGGATTTAAGTCTCATGTACATGCTACGATATCTTATCTAATTACTAGATTTACAAGATTTGTAAGATATTTAGTAGATCTGAGAATTAGTCATGTAAGATAACTCGGATATTTTAGATTATACAAAAAAAAAAAGTACACAATTACACAGATATTCAATATCTTTTCTTCTTTCTTTTTTTCCATTTAAAGTGTGGACCATATATAAATTCTTATAAGTATTTTTAATATTTGTGTTCTCTTAAAATTGAACCCTCGTTCGTCTTAAACCATTTTAATACCTAATTAATTTTTTTTTTAAAAAAGCATATATGTACCTTTCATGACAATCGATGCCATCATCTAATTTTTTAGCATGATGATTCTTTTATTGGGTTTTTGAAAATATAAATATAAATCCGTTGTATGCAATTTTCCAATACCAATTTCAAAACTTCAGTAATCCATGACAAAAAAAAAAACTTTTAAATTTATATTTCTTTGATATCATTTCCGTTTTCTGTATTCTTTTATTAAAAATAAATCAAAATTTGTTTATTTATTTATTTTAAACAACATAAAAAGTAACAACTAATTGTCCAAAAATGGTGATAGTGGTTGTGGGGTTCTTTTTAAGACAATCAAGATTTTGCTTTTGTTCCAAAAACAAGTTGAAAACAAAATCAAGGAAGAAAAAATATAAATGATACTAAACTACGTACTAATTAACTACATGGAGTGACGTGGGTTAGCATTCAGTAGGTTATTTCCCGCACTATGGTGTGGTTTAGAAAAAAAAAATGAATAAAAAAACAATATTTAGGTTGTACAAAAACTCTTTATATTGATATGAAACCTAATATAGCTAGTCAAGTTTGAAAATTTCAAACTTGGTTCTTTTTCTAATTTATATTTTAAATTAAATTATGTAAAAATTATTTTGATGTGATATTTTTAATTTGATAGATTAAAAAATATTAAAGGAAAGAAAAAAATATTTTAAATTAACTCTAATCCACAGCAAAACAAATGATTCGGATAGTAGATTCAATTAAATTTTTTCTTTTATTATATAATAAAAATACTAAAAACTATTCAAAATCATCATATATTAAAAGAAAAAATTGATGAAAAAAATTAATAAAAACACAACATTAAATAATAAAATTAAAAATAAAAAAACCTGAATAAATGGGCCAACTATTATTATTTTTTAAAAGAAAGATGACAAATTATTCACCTTTTATTTTTTTAAAAAATAAAAAAACATATAATATTTTACTTGTTGAATCAAATAATGTGTTATTCGCTGATTTACAATCTAGATTTTAGCCACTATTGTGATGAATAAAATAGACATAAAAAGAATTTTTTGATTAAAATTTATTTTTAACTTACACCTTAAGTACCTTCAAAAACACTGTAAAAACCTTTCTATATCATAAAAAAAACACTGAAAAATACCCGAAACACAATAACTAATTGAATAAAAAAAAACTCTAAACCAAGCACAATCTCTTTTCTCATGGAAGTTTAAAGAAAAAAAAAAACTATAATTGAACTCTTCTCGTTACATAAGACCATTAACATAACAAACAACGAGTTTGTCATTGAAAAATAACCCAACGAATTCGCCAACCAGTCTGCTGGAGACTTGAAAGTGTGTTGAACCTTGACCTTCCAATATCTAGTCAAAAGTGTACACTCTCTAACAACCAAAGTATAATTATTGTCTGTTTTCTCAACCTGCTTTATAAGGAAAATCACTACCAGTAGAGAGTCTGACTCCAGAAAAAGATGGTATATTTCAAGCTCTGATGCAAGTTCAAGACCGGTGATACATGCTAGTGTTAATCCTTATTATACACCTTATTTAATTAATGAATGCAAGTACCTTCCAAGCCTCATCAGTCTGTTGATCGCCAATGTTTTGTCAAACATATATTAGACCATATACCTTTTCTTTTCTTTTCTTTTATCATAACTCCGCGTTCCATGGAACATACGTTATATTGTACTGTAGGTTTGAACTTCATGAATCGACCTGGAAGTTGAGCTTTGATAAATTTATGATATGCATAAACATTGTCTCATCGAGAGAAAATGCATGCATAAACTTAGTCAGCTTCACTGATCAGTCTCATTTTTCATTTTAATATGCGCTACATCTTAATCTTAAAGTTATTGTTCTCCCATCCTCTGAAATCTCTCCTTACTGATCTCAACCCAATTTCTAGTTTTGAATCCAAGAATCTCAAGTAGATTTAGCTAGAATTTCTAGGTTGGGATCATTTTTTGGGCGACAGATGATGATTTGTTGCTTCGGTAGGATATAGATGCTTCTTTATTTAGGAAATGGACAATATGAAGCCATGCCAGTTTTCCTTGGCCAGCTTAGTGTACATTTAAGCTTTAATTCTGGCAATTTGATTGAAAATAGAGCTAACAGACGTCAGGAAAGACAAAACATGATTTGCTTAGAATTACCAGAACGTTTTCCATCCTCAACAGCGTGTATACACGTGCAACGAAAAAAACAAGCGAAGGGAATGCCGGCTAACATTCTTTCCATGTAGCTTTCCTTTGATTGATACTATCAATGCCCCAAATATTGGATTATTTGTCCAGGTAGATGTGCAGATATACATGACAGTGCAAACGTACTCTTGTGATATGAATCAAAATCAAAGCACCACTCTCTTTCTCTCTCGGTCTCGGCCATGATGATGATGGATAGGAGATTTAGCAGGGAGTCCTCGAGAGAAAGCAAAGGGTCTATAACCCTGCAAAAGAAAATTGTTGAGAGTCGGAGACCAAACAAAACCAAAAATGTACCAGACCTCACAGATTTCATGAATGACATGTTCTTTGGGACCGTGGACAATGACAAGAGATCCTATGACTTAACTGGGGGCCATTCGGAAGACGAAGAAGAAAGTTTCGATGACAGTACAAGGAGCAACAGCAGTAAGTTAACTCAGGAGTGGCTAGAAGAAGCTAGACGTATGGTGGCGTCATCTCCTTCGAGGTGTGAATCCCCTTCTAGACTAGTTGGATCACCGAGGTTTGCAGCCGTTCCTGGCAGGCTGTCGTCAGCCTCTATACTTGATAGGAGGGACCCACTCTCAAGGTCTGCTAGAAGGTAAGAGATGATTTGCATTTAATTCATGTGCTGCGAGATGAAGGAAATGCAATTCAGTGCTGTGGTATGCTAATGCAATGTTACATTTCCCGTGACACAATTATTCTCGTCTTTTCAGGTACAGATCAATGGAAGCTTTCAGTGGAGAAATACTAACCAAATCAGCAAAACATAGCCGTAATAAATCAGAATCATTAGTCGAGACTCCTGCAGAGCCATCCCCAGCATCACAATTCCAAGGGTGGTTCTCCAACATCCTCAAACCACCCTGTAATTTCAAAGCCCCGGTTCCAGACCCCAGCAGCCCCCACCAATCCAACGACCGTTCCTCCCCACTCTTGGATCCACCGGCCCTGAATCTGCCACCTCGGTTGTCATCATACCGAAAGTCCCGGTTCCAAACTGAGCCCCCGGCGACCACCCCTCAGGGGATTCCAGTCACTTCACGTAGAACTTTCAAGCCAGCTCCAATATTACGACAAGACATTCATTTGCTTTCTCCACCAAAGAATCTTATTGAGTCAGCTCAAAGGAGATCAATGTCATCAAACAAATGTTCCAAACCAGAGACTCAACCGCTGTCCCCACCAAAGAATCTCATGGAGTCGGCTCACAGGAGGTCCATATCAAAGTCTACTTGTTCCATTGAGAAAGTTGCGCCAAAGCCTATTGTAAGTGGGTGCAAAAAGGAAGAAGAGGGAGAAGAAGATTTAAGTCTTAATGGATTCCTTAAAGAGGAAAAAACCAAGATTGAGAAGATCTTGAATAGGGAGCTTGATTCTAAGGCCAAAATCATCCTTTCTGGTCCTCCAAACGGTAAGCACATTTTAATTGATGAAGAATTTGTAGAGGCTTTCAAAATCATATAAGTGCATATTAATTAGGCTTTTCACGTTGACTGTTAAAAGCAGAGTCGCTGATATTGTGTGAATAAATGCAGGTACTAGCTCAATGGTAGCAGCTATATGCTACGCGTTGTTGTTGGCAAATAGATTGACGAAGAATAAAGGAAATGGTGAGAGAGAGGGAACTGTGGTATTCCCTGTGATGAATACAAGGAGAGGGAGAATGTGGAAGCAGAGACAAGCTGCTTGGTTATTCCAACATGTTGGCCTTGATGCTACCTCATTGCTCTTCGCTGATGAGGTACTTCCAACAATTTTCATTCCATGCTATTTCAGTTTCATTCACTGAAGAATGTTGGATCATTGTTTTGATACACAAGCATCACTTAAATTAGTTTTTATTCACAATATGACTATTGGAATTTGCTTGGAACGAAATGAGATTTGTTGTGCATACCCATGGACTAATTCAGAATTCATTCAAGATCACAAGAGTTCAGTACCCTGTAATGAGAAAATTTCTATTTTCTAAATGCTATTGAACCCTTTGAATGTACCTTCAACACAATCAAACACCCTGAACCTGGATAGAAGGAAGGTACAGGAATGAAGCTTTTTTCTTCTTAATTTTGCTTCCATTATTTGGCAATGAAAATAGTTATAGAAGTTACTCACTTTGTGCTTGCCATTTGGGGCAGGTGGATTTGGAGAGTCTAATGATGGAAGGGAAATTAAACATTCTTGTTGTTGGGCAAGATATCCTCAGAACTAACGGCGAGGTCAGTCCACAACAATCAATATGATAGGATGAGTATAAGATGTTGGAATTATTCTCATTTTCTGTGTTAATGAGTGGTTTGAGTCATCACTAATTATCTGTACTTAATGCTACTGGTTCTCTGCATAGGTTGGATCACAGTGCACTATTCTTACCGATAACTACTGTGAAGATGCCTATGATCTACTTCAAACTCCAGTGCTGAAAAAGCTTTTGGTAAATTACTAAATTATGTATTAACAGCTCAAGTATAACAGTGTAGTTAAAATCACTTGTTTTTCTTGGTTTGAGTTCTCAAAAGTTTCCTCTGCTACAGCTTGCAGGTATCCTGTTAGACACACAAAATTTGAATGCATCTGCTACCTGTTCTATGACAAGAGATGCAGAGGCAGTTCAGTTGCTTCTAGTTGGCTCAACCCCAAAATATAGAAATGCCCTTTTTGATCAATGTATGGTTTTTCATACGTACTCAAACCATCAGGAAATAAGTTCAAAGTTATTCTTGTCTCATGGTTTATATCCTTTCTTTTTGGTTCTCTATTAGTGATGCAAGATCAAAGAGACAGCTCCTTTATTGAAGCACTAAGGCACAACTATGGAAAGCCCCCCAGCGAGAGTAAGCAGCTACCTTATTGTATTTATCTACCGAAAGTCTCTTAGGATTGTTGATGTGGAACAAGAGTCGAAACAATATTCTAGATAATCACCATGCAAATGACACTGGACTTCGAATTTTATGCAAATGCTTAGGAAGTACTTTTGAATTGAATTGAAGTTGATCATTGCGGTGCATGAATCCATGTCCTTCTTTCCTTTTCGTATTATTACACTTTTCTGTCAGCGTACATAGGCAGTTCATACTTTGTTTCTCTATTTTTGCTGCTGAACATATAGGTGGTCGTGATAATGGAGCACAAATGGACCATAGAGGAACAGAGAGCAGGCCAACCCCTGTCCCTCGACATGAAGCCATCCCACAGAATTCAGATAAAAATTCTAATAATGTGAGAAATGGGAAGCCTAACAATACAACAAAAGCAGGTATTTAGTCCTTCTGATAATCTCTGTTGCTTCGAACTCCAACTCCAAGCTCTACTTTTTTTTTTCTTTTTTTTAATCCCACTAGTATTCATTCTTCAAACTCTAATATTACTGTTTAAAATCATTTTAATGACCTTGCAGCACCGATAGAAGCAAGTCCTGATGCCTCTCGCGGAAAGAACAAGTTCTTCCTGGCAAAGTGGTTTGGTTTTGGTAAATAAAGATCATAAAAACGTTGATTTGTGACGAGATTAGATTTTTTTTAATGGACAGCTAGTTTCCCTGAAGAAAAATCTGTTATGCCTAATTTATTATATATTTTTTTTATTGTTTTTTTTGTTGTGAAAGAACTAAATAGCCATTGGCAACATCATCTCATTGTAGCAATCGTTGTTGATGGCGGCAATCTTGTTGTTTACAAATAATTGTTTCCACTTGCTAGTCCATCAAAAGCAAGTATTTTGTCGCCCATATTCTTCAGCATAAATACAACTACTATTATTATTATTACACCTTAATTTAGCCATGATCCTGTAATTATTTATGTTTATTGCTGCATCATTCTATAATGACAAGCTACTGCTCAGAAATAGTTTATGGAAAGGGAAAAAGGGAGGAGTAAACAAAGATAGGGAAAAAGGTTATATATGCATAAAAACTTGCATGTGCTCTGCGTCATCCATAGCCCCTCTATATCCTCCCCTATGCCCATCATCACATGCATTTGCATTGTTTTGCCGGATACAGACATTCAGTAGCCTACTGAAAACATGTCATATAGCTTTTTTCCTGTATATAAAATTAAGGCACTCCACATACTACATATAATTTGAAAGCAAACTTCTCATATTTCAAGACCAGATCAAGTGAAAGAGAGATAAACGAAAAGATAATTTTGGAGAAAAGTGAACAGGAAGATGCCTCTAGATGTGAAATAATATTGGCCATGTTATCTGATACAATCTGTCTTGTCCAATTATGCCCACTTGTTCATCCCCAGCTGTAACTAACTCCCAGCCTCTCTCTTGGATCCCATTTTCTTTCTCAACCCAATCATCTGTCACTCTCTTAACCCAATCTGTATCCTCACCACCCCATGCTGCTGGCCCATCCCATGGAGACCCCATATTTCCTTTCCTTTTTACAGCCTTATTCTTTTGGATGTTGATGACGATGGAGCATTGGCGCTACTGTCATTCAACTTTCCAAGCATAGAGAAACAAGCAAAAATCAGATGATCCACCACCTGCATTTAGCCCCTCTAGTGAACCAGAACCTCCTGTCTGGGAGGACAATGGTGTAGATGTCGATGAAGATAGTGTAGGTGATGAAGATGAAGTTGATAGCAATGATAGAGATGTGCATGACATTATTGGCTTAAAGATAAACAAAGCATGCCTTAAACCAGGACTAAATAGCCAGTCATGGATATCCCAGTATACCTCTACTCTTAGTTTACGAAGGTTAATATACTCGTTACCTCTAAATTTCCATTGAAGATGCTTCACATGAATGACCAAATGCCCATCTATCCTTATCTCCATTTCTGGTTCATCCCCATTAATAGAGTTGCCATTACTAACAATATTGCCACTATTACTTCCGTTCTTGCACTCTATTGAGATCTCATGAAACCGACCTTTCTCATGGAACTTGATTCTTGTAGCGAACTTCTTCTTGCCAAATATGTGCTCCTTTCTTGAAACCAAAATGGGATCAATAAGAGCAGGCCGACACCCAGTTTTCCTGTAAGCATCCTTCTTTAGATCACCAAGAAGAAGCACAACCTCTTCGTCGCAAACAACAGCAACATAATACTCAGAATTAGGCTCAGTTTCACCATTGAATTTAGCAGCCTTGAGGTCCCAGAAGATATCCACAGCTTTACCCTCCACTACAAACCGTTTGGAGCCTTGTTTCCTCCAAAAATACCAAGGCTTCAGCTCCACTTTGCAGGTGTACTGACTCTCTCCTTCAGGACCTTCTACTGATACTGATAGACCATGGAGTAACAGATTCTTGCACCATGTTATTGTGATCAAACGACACTGATCGGCAATCTTTGTACGATAAGCAGACATGAAAACACTCTGCCCTGACCTGGTTACAGTGGCAGGATCATCAGCTGCCTTCTCACCGGATGTAAAGCAAGCAGGAATCCCAATTGGATGGTCTTGCATTGCAATTAACTTGAAAATCTGCTCTCTTTCAATGAACCACAGTAATTGGGGGCGTAGCCTAGTTTAGAGCTGCAGGAAGTGAACAGCAAATAGAAGTGAGACAGCAAGATGAGAATTAAAGAGAGAGTTGGGGAAAAAAAAAACTGATTTTGCTTGCATAATTAAGGAAAGAGAGGCAGGTAGATAGAGAGAGATCTTAGTGGTTGCAAGATGTATTGTATCAAGGCACAGATAGTGCCAGAGGTTTCCTTGGCAGCATTAATGGAAATAAAGAAATACTATCTAAGTGGCAAATAGATGGCGGTGAGTGGACTGTGAAAGTGAGTGAAGAACACCCCTTTTTATATTCGATCACTCAGTTGTTCTCTTACCTGGATTTCCTATTTTATAAACTAGTTTTTGTTTCCTTCGTTTTCATGACCTTCTTTCATCATCTTTTCCCTCTAGCAAGACAACTTTAATGAATCCAAGGTGTTTTTGCTTTTCTATACATAAGCTTAGAATACTTGCCCCCATACATGTGTAGAATCCTCAGTAGCATGACAGCACATGAGATGGAAAGATGTAAGAGATGACCAGTCAAAACAATAAAAAACTGAATCATCAAGAAGTTGGCTTTCCAATGTGGGTCTTCCAGGATTTTTTTATCATTTGATAATTTGCTAAGTTCCAGCATTTTTTTGGTGCAGGAAGAGGAATCTTGGGATGGTGTAGTGGATGAAAAGGCCTTTGAAATCCTGGTATTTGCAGTTTGACAGAGAGGGACGAGGTAAAAAAAGTACAGCAGAAATTTATGGCTTGAAATCTTAGATGTGGTCAGTGGTTGACCCAGTCTGAGGAAGGTATCAACAATCATCACATAATTACGTTAATTAATGCATTTGAAGTATAGTATAAGACTCCTTGAAATTAAAGTGCATTTAATGTTACTGCATATCTATTAATTCCTAGTCAAATCCCCGTCCTAATATATTCCATTACAATAGTAACCACGCTGCACTGCAGGCTTGAATTTTTTTATTTTTTTTTTTACTTGGGTTAATGGTATTAGGTACGATAGGATTAAATAACATAGTTTTGTTTTAATTAGACGATAATAAATTAAATAATAATAGTAGATAAATTAAATTAAAAAAAATTATGATGACATAAATTTTTTTTTAAAAAAAAGATAAACAGTGTAGCTTAATTCTTAGTTCATTAAATATATAATGATGAAATTTGATAAAAAATGAATCTACAAAAATTAGGTTAAGTCAACTTGAGTTAGTATGACAAACTTGTAACTCTGATATTAAGAATTGAAACCAACTCAGATTATCCAGCTGGATCCACAACCCAAGTCACGAGACCGAGATGACTTTATAGAAAAAAAAATGAAGAAAATCACTAACCTTTTTTTTAAAAAAAATGAAGAAAATCACTAACCTTTTTTTTTTTTAAAAAAACTAGTGTTTACCTATGTTAATTTTTCAAAACTATGACCCGAGTCATTAGTCCGAAAGCACTATCTAGAAAAACCATGAAATTTAATTCTCGATTAATCAACTATTAAATGATGAAATAAAAAAAATTCAATTTAACAAAAAGATTAGAAAATCAAAGATTAAAATTAAAAGTATAAGGATCAAGATTGAAATACAAAGTAAATTTTATAACAGTGAAATTGAAAAGAAAAACAATTTAATAAAAGGATCCAAAAAACAATAAAAAAAATAAGGATGGAGATTGAAATAAAAAATACAGACAAATTTTTTTTATTAAATGGTGAAATTAAAAAAAATTAACAAAACGCTAAAAAAATCAAAAGAATGAGGATTAAATTGGAAGAAAAAAAATATCACAAATTGGGATTGAATAATGAAATTGAAAAATAATCAAAGTTTTACAAAATAGAAAAAAAAAACAAAAATTAGAAATCAAAAGAATAAAAACTAAAGTGTAAAACCCTTATAAATCATATGAAAAATTTGAAATTTTGCATTGTCGGCATGAATTTCGAGGGGACAAGAGAGGAAAAAAGAGGAGAAAAAAGCGTTATCGGCAACAAATTGTGTCAACATTGACCACACACGTTATCTCAAAAGGAAAAGGACACAACCTTGTTTCCAATGAAATAACAAAAAGGGTATTTTTGTTGCCTCGAGGTGCCTCCCACACACTTTAGCCATGTTGCCTCGAGGTGCCTCCCACACACTTCAGCCACTTATTATTATTATTATTATTGTTATTTTATATAATTATGCAAATATCAAGTTTCCTCTCATTTCACCTGATAATAGTGAAAAAATCATTTTGAAAATACAAAAAAGTCTATTGATGTCAATTTTAATATTTTTCTCCATACGCATTTTGGTTGTTTCACTATGCTTTAATTTTTTTATATTTTCTATATTTATAAAAATACCAAATTGTCCTTCAACTGACTTGATAATAACAAGAAAAATCATTGTGAAAATACAAAAAAAACCCTTGGAAGCTAGTTTTAAAATTTTAGCTTTTAAATACGTTTAACCATTTCACTTTGCTTTTGAAATGGAAAAAAACTTATTTATCCTTAATCAATTTAGTAATGATTAATACGCTTTGAAAAAGACCTCATTGCATCCAATAACGAGTTTAATATTTTTTGGTTTGAATAACAAAGATTTCATTACACTATTATGATGGACAATGCAAATGAGTTTGTGTCTATAATGTTTTTCCAAGGTTGATTAGGTTTTGTTAATAACCAAAATCATTTTACACTAAAAAATGTTTTCTAATCAAGCAAGACTTATAGGCGTATTTACTTATCAAGTTCCCATTGAAATAGGATTCACACAAGAAAAAATATTTTTCATTCGTCGATTATTAGGAGCCTCCTAAAAAGATTTGGTTTGAATTATAGTTTTCAAATTAAGTTCTAGATTAGTGGATGCTGTCAAAAAGAGTGGTGATGACATACATAAAAATAAATAGACTTATAGAATGACATGAGAATATAAAACTTTTGTATATTTCCTTTAATCAACAAATAAGATACATATCTATATAAACACATAGACTCATGGAGCTATAGATGTAAGTAGACCTTTATGAGCCTCTATAATATCTATTATACCATGAATAATGCCTCAGTTAGACCTATACATATGAAAATTGCAATAACTAAATGGTGGTATGTAATATCGATTAGTTATATACCCCTAGTTATTAGGTCTAATCCTTTATAAAAAGTAGGAGATTTGAATTTTTTTTGACTAGTTCAAAGTGAAAAATAAAGTTTCTTACTTAGCAAAATTAAAATAAAGTTGAGCTAATATTAATGTTTTTCATAAAATTTTAAAAATATTCCTTTCACATCAGTTAGATACATTAAAAAAATTAAATAAGTTTTTTTAAAAAATATTAACTCCAAGATTTAAGTTTTTTTAAAAAATCAATTTTATATGATCAATATCTTAGAATTAAATAAAGATCACATTAATATACTAGTTTAAAAGTTGAAAGGTATATATGTTTTTTTTTTAACAAATGCAAGGGAATTTCATATGTATTTGGATAATCAAAGTACAATTGTTATTGTACTATGCTGAAATGTAATCGCACATTATCTTAATTTTAGCTTTATATCTGGTGGATTCTTTATGCATGTACTTTTTGTGTTATAACTTGTTTTTAAAGTATTTTTTATTATAAAAGTATTAAATTAATATTTTTTTATATGTTTTTATAATGATTTTGATGTGTATATATTAAAAATAGAAAAAAAATTAAAAAATATATCATTTTGATACATTTTTAATTAAAAAAATACTTTTAAAAAGTATTTTAGCACCACAATATTAAATAGACACATACACAATCACTACTTTAACTGACAACGAGATTTAAATGGTGAACTTATATAGATGTGTGAGAATAGGTTATTGTCTTGGTGATTGTTTTTTGTTATACTAAGCTCACTAGCTAGAAGGCAATGTACTTATTATGGTTTGGAAAAATAACTTTGTTTTCATATATTTTTGATCAAACTGATTTCTTGGTATTTTAATCATGAAACCCTTCATATATAGTCATGTAAATTTCATCTTTTAAGAACATTTTATTTTGATGTTATCATTCTCTTAATTAAATTATCTTATAAAAGTTTAGGAAAAAAAAAGGTTTTAGAAGCTATATATTCTTTTATAGAGCAAACCTTCAATGCTAGTCTTTGTAAGACATTTTAACTCTGTAAAAGTTTTTTATTACTATTTTCTCATTATAATAAAATGTTAAGTTTGACGTCAACTTTATCATTAAAATAAAACAATTTTGCCTCAACCTTTTCATCTATCAAGCTTTTTCTTTCATGACTTCAAATTACTATTATCTTGGTTATAATTGATTTTTTTTTGTAACTTAATATGTAAATATAAGTTCTATATATTTTCTTTTTCATAATAATATAAAATAAAGTCCAATAACAACTTAAAATCTATAAAACCCATATATTATTTACAAGTAAGACTTCATGAGAAGACTTTATGGTTTTGAAGCTATAACTAATGATATTTTATTAGTTACTCAATAAGATTCATTTAAAAAAAAATACAAATACTATAGAGAGAAAGAATAAAATATAAGAGAAAGATAGAATAAAATACATGACCTATCAAAAGTAATAAGAATATTTTTACATACTTTTTTGCTCTCCTATTTGTATCTATCTATTTCATCTCATTGAGTAACTAACAGGATGTTAGCAGTTACAACTTGAGCACCATAAAATTTATTGATTTCATGTAATTAAGGCAAAGGGATATCGGATAAAATGAGAGAAAAAAAGAGTTGTCACATAATATTAAGATATATAAAAAATCTAAAAAAAATGATATTTAAAGATCAAGAATAAGATGTTGGTTATGCAATCAAAAGATAACCATTAGTTAACAATATATTACTTATGGTAAGCTACATCACATGCAAGCTTTTTGTTTTTTATATTAAACTATCTAGCATGATAGTGTTCCAGAAAAAAGGATAGTAAAAAAAGAATCAAGAAAAATAAAAGAAACTCAGTTCAAGATCTTCAGAGTACTTGTTATATGTATATAAGTGACAATAACATATAATCAAGAATTAATAGACAGGTATCTAAGATAAAA